AAGATGAGTTAGTTAGATTAGAATAATAGTTTAACTGTAGTATGTATCATGCTGCTCGAATGAAAATGTACTTATGTTTTCAATTGATTAATAAACTGACAATCTAGTCTGGCTACGGGTACTCAAAAAAAAAAAAAAAAACATGGCATATACAATTTTATTAATTTTAATACTTGGTTTTAGATTTTTTATAGATGTGCAGTATATTTTTTAATTTTGCTATAAATTTTGAAAATGAACGATAACAAGCACTTGATTAAGTTTAAACGCAACTGAGTCCGTAACTCATTTTAAAAATTTACTTGAACAAAAATAAAATTTCCGTGTAATATAAGAATTTTGTTGATCTATTTTACATATTTATTATTTACGCAAATGTACATGGTTCAAAAAAATCGAGTCATAAAAATCGCATAGATTTCTTCCAAAATACAACAATCATTTAGAATATGTGCACTATCTGATGATCACGTTATACACATCTGGACAAGGTAATTGTCGAAATTTCCAGTTGATTTATAGCTTCGATGAATTCGACCTTCGCTGATGATAAGAAAAGTTGTACAAAGATGAGAAGTGGTAAGGATGGTGAATGATTAAACGCACAAAGATAAATTAATGATTCAAGTAACGCGACGAGGACAATTTGCGAATCACTTGCAGCACTTTGGAATAATTTTATTTTTTTTTTTTTTTTTGTTATCCCAACAGATTCGTCATGGAGAGATGATTAGAATGCATTTAAATTCAACAACTTACAGAAAACAACCGTAGAAATGTTCTTATCCTCGAGCATAAATATCTTGGCAAACGTTAATCAATCTTTTCGCGCGAAATCATATCATCATGTTGGCCAGTTCGCTGAGCAGCCTTTTCGCATCCGAATTATCGTCTTTTGCCTTGTCCAACCAATAAATGGCTCTCTCGATGTCTAGTTTCGTCCCGAATCCATTGATATAACATATGCCAACCCGACATTGACCAAAAGCATTACCATTTTTTGCCGACCTCAGGTAGTATTCGAATGCCTTCTTTTCATCTCTAATCTTTTCGTCGGTTCCAACCCCGTTTAAGTGACAATACCCCACATCAGTCCAAGCCACATCCAACCCGCCCTCTGCCGACTTCAAAAAAAATTCCAAAGCCTTTTGGTCATTTTTAATTGTCCCTTTGCCATCAAAATAACAATCGCCCACACGATGCATCGAATTTATGTTTCCTCCTTCTGCGGCTTGCAAGTACCATTCGAAGCCCATTGACTCATCCCTTTCCGTTCCAATCCCCCTCTGATAACAATATCCAAGCAAAAACTTTCCCACGAGATTTCCTTTCTTCGCCGAAGAAGCTATCAACTCAAATGCTTTTGATTCGTTTTTTTCGGTTCCACTGCCTTCGTAGTAACACTCTCCCAAGGTCACCTGGGCCCTGACCGAACCCTCCTTGGCCAATATCGAAAGTAACAGAAACGATTTGACGTCGTCTTTTTTCACATGTTTCCCATAATAAAACATTGATGATAAACAAAATTGTCCAATATAGTGGTTATGCAATCTAAAAGAATCCAAAAGGGTCAACGAATCGATGGCATGGGCTCGGAAGGTTAACGCGCTGTCCTTGGCAGCGCGTACGTACAACTCCAGAGCCATCTTGTTGTCAATGGACGTTCCAATTCCAAATTCATAGAAGAAACCGATCAGGCTACTAAAATATGAACGATATTGACATTGAAGCAGTTGACTAAATAATTTTACGGGGTTCTTTCTTGAATTCACAATGTATTTTCTAATTAAGCAATGTACAATGGGTCTATGTTGCATGTTGAATTGTTCTATAAAATATTGGAATAGGTCCCCTATGAAAGGATCGATTTTAAATTCCTCGACTCTACCTCGTTGGCGTGAAGTTATGTCTTCTTCTGGAATGGTTCCCTTGGTCGACGAGGCAGTCTTCCCGTGTTTCACCGGCACCTCCTCCAGCCCAACTCGGGATTCTTTCTCGGCGAGCATTTTCTAAGTATGATATGCGGTATTCGTGAAGTCATGCATGCTTATACTCGATTATGTTACACGAAGGTAGTGTGATTAGCGTCGGAATTATCTATACCCGCATTGATCTCGGAGATGCAAAAAAAAAAAAAAAAATTTTTTTTATTGATAAAAAAAATTTCAGATAGAAAATACACAGGTAGGAAAATTATGTGCGTGATATTTCGAATACGTCTGATGCACCCCCATTTCAACTACCAAATCGATGTCTCACATTGTCATAGACACTCGATGGATAATTCCGGTGGTTGGAGCTATTATCCAAGTATTGCGACCCACCAAAAGAATTATACGCAGCAGAAAGCAAAGATCGGGGATCATCGGTTGGCACGTCACTGGAAAGATCCCAAAACATTACACCGTTCAACCTCTTCTCTTTAATATATCCAACCTTTTTTGCAATCACGGGTGGCGTATCGTAAGTGACAAATTCCATGGAATCGGGGCTATAACTATAGCCCGCGACGTAATTCTCGTCAAAGTATTCGACCGCACCCTCCCAGGGGCAAATGCTTGTAATCGTAAACACCGGCCTCAAAAGAGCCGGGACCGATTCCGTTGTACGGGGAGCCAAACCCATTTGTGTTTTCAAAGGCTCTACCATACATCGGCATACCGATCACAATTTTTTCACGCGGTACTCCGGCGGCCAAATAATCACCGACCGCTCTATCAACGGATATATCTTTGCCGTACAAGTTTGATTGATGACCGGTGACCGGTAACCAAGATCCGGCAAAGTCATAAGCCATGAGATTGAGAAAATCAAGATAACGGGCAAGTTCTCGTAGTGGAATTTTATTGTAATTATCGGGTCCACACGGTAATGCAGCGGTTATGAGGAATGGCGTGGTTTCACCTATTTCTGCGGCGTAATCGTCCAGCGCATTTCGAAGTTCTCGGACCAATTGTACGTAGTTTTCACCTTCTCTCGAATTCTTGGGGTACTCCCAGTCAACTATGGAGGGGCGATGAAAAAAAAAAAAAAAAAGGTTCAAAACAGATAAAAACCATAGTCTTCACGTTACGAGATGAAAACACGTGCGACGACCGAAAGTATTGCCGAATTGATGATCAGATGGGACTTACTATCGATGCCATCGATGTAAAAATCCTTAAGCAACTTCAGAAGAGAGTCAACCATGGTCTTCCTGGTCACAGGGTTTGCGGTGACCGGACCGAAATTCGTCGACCACGTGTAACCACCAATTGAGATGAGGACCTTAAGATGGCTGTACCTTTCCTTCAATAGGGCCAATTGTTTCAGGTTCCCGTACAAGTTGGTGCCTTCATCATTCCAAGAGTCCCCATCAAAATGTTTGTCCGTATCCGCCCATGGATCGCCGGAAACGACTTTACCGTCGGGCGACAAATTGAAGAAGGCGTAATTAATATGGGTAAGCTTGGAAGCGTCAATATCGTAAACATTGTAACCTCTGGCGTAAATTGACCACGCGGTGAAGTAACCGACGATTTTTGGCTTGGTCATTTCTTTTGGGGGTTTGCCGATATGTGTGGGAAGAGGTTCGGGATGTGATGTGGTCTTTGAAAATTCTATCAAATGGGTATTAGTTTGTTCCATTAGTGATGATGTTTGATGGGTGGATCCTGTCGACTCCCACCACGATTCATTATCAGCCAAATATATGATCGAAGGTATGGTGGACAAAACAGTTATTCCAATGGTGAGAAACAGAAACAAAATTATGTAATTGAACTTTGTATCTCGTCTCTCCTGAGCGAGAGTTGGAGGCGAAGAGGGATTTTCAGAAGTGCTCAACGGTGCGTATTTCGCCATATTTCAAGCACTTCTATATCTAAAGATAGTTGGTAGTTTAGAGAGTGCGCTCACCAAAATCCCACTCAAATACGTCCAGCGAGTGGATAAAAAAAAAACTTCACCATCCTCAATTATAATTTTTTCCAATTTATGTATTCTTAGTATGACGAACCAATGGAGATCGAGTCACGCGCATACACGCATATATATTGTATCTCGATATGTTACCTTCCCAAAGTGAGTGAGTAAATGGAGTTTCACCGCGCACGTATTACAATCACGTGACACATCAAACGAGTATGCAAGGGTCATCAATGCTTCAATAAGTAAGCACATAAACAAAAAAAAAAGACCGTAAAATTTTCTCAATTGGAATGTTCTCACGGCAAACCATATCGAGGTCTCGATATCTTATTCGACGATTCACACCCATATCATTTTCGCCAAAGACCTTTGATAGGTCACCAACGATAAAACTAACCCATTACAAGTGTAATGCGAGTGGAGGAGGACCGGAGGTAATTCTTGAACTATCATTTCTGCACCGTTTCGATTAAATTCATACACAATTCAACAAATAGTCCCGGGCATCGAATATCGTCTTTACGAGAATTTTACCCGCGTTCGCGGCCGGCGTAGCGGGGGTAGCCTATTGGCATGCAAATGACAACAACATAGCATTCGCGGACTCTTCAGTTCGGCCGTCTGAAGAGATGACGGGTAATTGAGAATAATTTTTTTTTTTTTTTTTTTTATTGATTTTGACGCTTCCAACTTTTTTTTGATTGTCAGAGGAACCAAATAGTAAGGTTCAAATACCAAACCACCTAACCTTGTACAACGGAAGAAGAGCAAGGCTTGTGGGATTAGGCATAAGGACCGTGTCACTTTTACGGATGAAGGTATATGTCATTGGGATGTATATTTCTGAAGATGATATTGGAGTATTGAAAAATTGGAAGGTTGGTGATGTTCTCTCTTCTACTAATTTAACATATACTGTATATACATTATATATACTTTCTCTTCATGACCTATGTAAACTTACTTATTAGGGATACGATAAAGAAAAATTTTTGTCGACGGATGATGATTCATTAGCTTATGAATTGTTGGGTCAACCGGTCGACATCGCGATCAGAATAGGTATAATTAACTTTATTAACGCCAATCCTTCTCCTGTAGAATTATTGTTTCGATAAATTTATGCAGATGTGTCTTTAAAAAAAAAAAAAAAACGTGTGTAGAGCCTGTGAGAAACACCAATGGACAACACCTAAAAGACGGATTTACCCGTACCCTTACAAATAGGATGCGCGAAGGTCACCTGGATGAAGATGAGGCCGAGGTTTAGGATTTGTATTCGTCAAAAAAATTTTCTGTCAACATGCCTAATGAAAATTCCCCGATATCTTTAGCAAGCATTAGAAGCCCTTAAAGAATTTAAATCAAAATTTCCACGGATATCGATAAAAGCGGGCACATCGTTGATCCTGACGAAACAAAGGGATGGCAATTTAAGGATGGAATATGAGGTAATCGATGTATGACAATCGGAGTTTTCAAATATATATAAATGTACTGTATACAGATGCAACATAGGGGGATTTAATCATACACATTTAATAGGGGAAAGATTTCGGAGTGATAAAAAGCCCATGGCTGGCTAAAAATTTGTTTATGGGCTATTTGACTGCAAATAACCCTATTTCCAAAGAGGTAATCGGATTTCTATTCTCAATTTGTCGTGTGATGGATGATTCCTTTTTTAATATTTGGTTACCCTCGCCATTCGCATTAGGCAAAACATAGTATTTCCGAGGGGCTTGAAAAGATATTGGTTGGCGGCTAGAGCTTGGTAGGGTTCCAGTCACGTGAAAAAAAACGCGTTTTCCAAAAAACATTCGCTTGATAATCTAATCACCGCCTTTCCGTTTATTGTTGCTGACAAAGGTTAGACAAGTTCATTTTCAATTATCGGTACGCATCGCTTGATAAAGAAACACTTTTGCCAATAGTGAGTGTCGTCATTGATGAGAAAGGTTGCTATTATTATTATTATTGTATTAAAATTCCGCCGAGTCATTTGACAAAAGTTTTGTCCTACGTGTGATCGAAAGTTCTTTGTGGACAACACAATAAATTACCAAAGTTGGCCATTGGAACATTGAAAAAGAGCACAGTGCTCATCCAAACCTTTTCCTTTTGTAATCTTGGAAAATTAATTTTATGCCATCGATCATTCTCTTACGTATGCATAATTGAAATAGAAATTTTAGGAAATTGCTATTAGCGATCGTTTAGATGACGCAAGAAGTGACCGTTTCGTCTTTGTATCACCATTTGTTTCACCCTTATCCAGTTTTCCCTTTGTGTGCACTGTACATGCAAGAGAACAAAACGAATGGTCGCTAAAAAACCCTTATCATCTTCTTTGATCTTGACCGTTTGTAGCAATAACCCTTCGTTCAACTAATTACCGGACATTTGAGTGAATCCTCCGGTTCTCTTTTTTTTCATTGTTTTGCATGCTCAGCTCATTACTTCAACAATATGATATTGTTATATTTAAGATCAACCTGGTACGTTATTTCACGTTTTGATTTCTTTGTGCGCACGTAGAAAAGAGGGAAAAAAATCCGTTTTTTTTTTTTTATCCTGGATTGGCCGAATAGGGAAATACGCTGCCACGTATTATTGTGGCAGAACTCCTTAATTCGATCCGATTAATACTCTGACGCAGTATCGATTTCCAATTTTGGATGCAATTTATACACCATGAATAGTTATCCTTTTCATCATACCCAATAATCTTCTCCAAAACACCACGTTATCTATATCTCGGAATCAGGGGTACCCTCGGGACTTTCAGTAACCGTGATGATCGGAGAGGGAAATACCAGCACGTACCAGCATAATCTATATAAATAATCATGGTACGCTGTCAAAAAAAAAAAAAAAAAAAAAAAAAAAAAAAGATTCTTTAGATAACGTGCAGGTAAAACACACATTGTTACACATTTCCCTGCAATTTCATATATACTGAAACGGGAAATTGCCGTGCATCTTTTTGTTGTTTGTTAAAACGTCCGGCTTTTTTTTTAGCCTAAACAGCTACAAGAAAAAAAAAAAAATTTATCAACAATAGCGGAGTGTTCATTGATAAATAAATCCGGTTTTTTCTTTTTTTTTTTTTTTTCTTTATAATCGATCCACTTTGTCTCTCAAAAAAAAAAATACCTTGATTACCTTCTTTGCAAAACCTTCATCTTGAACAAACGAATAATTTTTTTTTCTGATCAGAAAACAAATCATGTCTTTCCTCGCAGATTTCGAACCAATTCTCGTGCACTCACCTTTCGAACGTTCGCAGCAACAACAAAAAATCAAATCGCCACCTTCTTCCAACAATAACAATAACACGACGACACCTCGGAAGAGCGGCGGTAATCTAAATCTCTTGCGGCGAATGAAAGGTGACGGTTCAACTTCTGCCACCTCCAACAGGCAAATGGACGAAAAGGATAAACTGATTACGTTTTTGATGTTGCCGGGAATTCATGGATTTTAATGAGGCAACTGATACTCATGGATCCTACGCGTTACATAAAAAAATTTTCTCCCAATGGAGAATTTATCAAATTGGATTCTTCCATTCATTCAACAACTCCTCATTCATTCATTTAATTCTATCATTAGTATACCTTTCACACTCATATTTTTCTTTTTTGAAAACATCTTTTAGAGATACTATCATACCTCTAGATTCTTATGCATTTTATTTTTTCTTAATGGTGCGGGAGGTGATATGGGAAATCGACCATCTTTCTTACTATTTCTCCGACTATCAATTTACCCCTTCCGAAACTTATAATCCATCGAACACTTCGACTCTCAAAAAAAAAAAAAAAAAACAGATCAAGGCCTGTATATTCTGATAGACAACCCTTGGTAGAAATTTATGGCATTAATATGTAAAAAAAAATTAAAAAAATAACAATAATAAAAAGCATGTATAATTTTGCGAAAGTACACGTTGAAAAAACTTACGCTTTTATCACGTGGTCAAGATCAAAACAAAAAAAAATTTTTTTACATAGATTATCTTCGCCATGTAACAAATTCGCGGGTCGAGAGATGCTCACATGTAGATTTCCTAGGTACTGCCCTCAAAAAGGCTAGATACCCCACGTCTAATACTTAATTTAGTTATACTCTCCGCCAGAATTCAGATCTAGCATTATTTTTCCAAGCGATTTGCAAATTCAAGATATTGTCAGAACAGCAAAGTCGTGCTTCCAATATCAATTGGTTATTGGTTCTTTTGATGTCAAGAGGCCAAACTATTTGAGACACTGTGCATGGAGGACAATATACCTAAACCTGAAAAGGTTCAGTCGCCTTTCCTGATTATATTGTTTACGTTCCTATGGTACATTATAGAACATGTCAAGATGATTTTTCGAAGATAATGAGGAATAATAGTTATACATCTCAATAATATTTTCATTATTTACCATTATCTTAAATATTTATTACAACAATGCAAAGAAGAAATCACAATGTATATACTTATTATTCTAATTTGAATAATAATAATAATACAATTCTAATTATATATTGTATTTACGGTATAAAGATATTTCTTTATCTAATATCTACTGTAACTATTTGTTGGACTTTAAATATAACTTTAAAAATAACTTAAAATATTATTTAAAAAAATTTTAATAACCTTTTTGATTTAAAATAATTTAGGTTATTTTTTTCTTTAATTTGAATTTAAAATATTTGCTGTATATCTCTATTAATATATAATTAAATTTAATAAAATACACATATTTTAAAACTTAAATTATTATCTATTGTATAAAATTTTTTTTTTTTTTTTTTTTTTTTTTTTACCCATTGTCAGGTTAATTATATGTGCTTTATTAAACATAATGTAGACTATACTATTTATAGTGTCACTAAAGCTAAAACATTAACTCACTTGTCTTAGTTTATTGTCAAACTCTAAGTGCAACTTTGAAAGAGATTTGTCACTTTGTTTATAGTTTGGGTAAATATCCTTCTACTATGAACATCATTGTTTGCAGTTACTCCTGCAGATTACTGATCAAAATTCTAACCAAGCCTAAAATCCAACTATTTCATGTCACTTTTAACTCCCATCATTATTATCCTTGTTAAACCTTTTTCTGAACATTCTTTTTCTATTTTCTTTCTTTCTTTTCTTGGCTTTCTCATTTTTCTAATTGAATAAGACTTTATAGATCTTCTTATTTTATCTTTTCAAAAAAATTTTTAAGCTTTTTTCTATTCTATTACTTGTTCACATTGTTTATTCCACACTTCTTTCCTGAAGTAATTCAAAATCTTCTTTTAACAATAGGATATCCATTTTCTAGCTACTGTTTCTATTTTTTTTTCTTTCACATTTGAGTTCCTTTACTTCTCTTAATTGATTTCTTTTGACTATTTTTAAATACTCTTCTTATAAGTTTTGTTATCCATGCTTTTATTTCTTTTATTATTTTTTTTCTATTTATTATCAGGATATTACTGTATTCTTCTTGAGCTTGGTCTTTTTACTTTTGCCTCTTTTTCTTAAATTTTTGATATATTATTTCTATTTCTTTTGATTAGATTTCCTTTATTGTATTTTTATATCTTGTGCATTCTAAAAGATGTTCTATTGTTTCTTTCTATTTTCCACATGCTAAACAATCATCTTTGTGATATATTGTAGGTCTGGTTTTCTTATCACTAGTTTAGTCATTATCAGTAGTTCATTATTGATTAACTTCACTAGAAAACTTTTCTGCTATAAGCTTTTAAAGGAGGTGTCCCATATGTGTTCCTTTTTTAATCTTTTTTATATAATGTCTTATGAATAGTTCTATTGATTTTTTATTTGAAGGATCTATTTGTCCCTAGTTTAGTTTTGTTGTAATCAGCAGTATATTATTGTTTTATTATTTATCTTTTTTATAAATTGCCTTATGGAACTATCCAATATTATATTCTACTATTTCACTTCTATAATAATCCTGTCAAATTTAAGATCTTTTCACTAAATTGTTGAGAAGTTTAGTACTTCTTTAGTCAACTTATTTGCTAGATCATTTTTTTTAATATTAATGTGCACCTTAACTTTAATTAATTTCAATTTTATGTTTTTTGTTTTGATAATATTTAGTATCTTTGCTCAAAAGAACTAGTTTTTTTTTTTAAGCCATCTTCTATGAGTCATTTTGGGATCATCTTTTCTCAACTTGCTCTATTTAGATATACATATTTGACTATCTATATAGATTTCAACTAAGCTTTCTACTGGTATTATCAATAGGATTGTGACTATTACTACTAGATCTACTCTTATGGATAATAACCAATTTTGTACACCTGCTTTAAAACTATTCCCTTGACTTTTATTACTTGTTTGAATCCATGCCATCTAATAATGATACTAGTTGAAAATTATTTATTCGGAATAATATCACTCATATAATATTTATCAAAAAAATAAATAATTCGACATATTAATAATATAAATAAATTGACAATTAATTTTTACCATATAATTCAGCATATAATTCAGTATAAATAAATTGTCAATCAATTTCTATTATATAATTTGGCATAAATAAATCTTAAATCAATTTCTACTATATAATTTGGCATTATCTGTCATATTTATATTATTTTTATTATATATTTCATTAAAATTTTTCTCAAAAAATCATTAGATATTCATTAAAATTTGTACATTTGCTGAATTTTAATTATATATTATATTTACAATTTAAAGGAATTATAACTAAATATTCATAAGAGTCTTACTGATTGGAGGTTCTATATATAAATGGAATAAATCGGTCAAAAATATTATAAATAGGGATCATACATTCACATATAACTGGGTAAAATTCAGTACTCCACAATTCAATATTTGCATTATTTTCAAATCTGAAATAAAATATATTTTCTGTTGAATTAACTGATTTATACCACCGAATAAAGACCAATTGATATTAAATAATATTATTTAGAAAGTTTACTGAATATGTAAAGAAGAATTGATCTTGTTCTGGATATAAATTAACACTTTCATCATAATTCACAAATTTAGCTAATATAAATGAGCCCTTAATATTTCGGGAGAACATAATAGAATTGAATATTTTACTCCCAATTCAGTATCTACTATATTAATCTACTCTATTCTAAATAATTATCAAATTTTTATTATCTTTCATAAATGGTTTCTGAAAGTCCATAGTTTTATAAAATGCCTCATAGTATTTAACTAATAAATCTAATATTTTGGCAGATATCTTTAAATTTGATTTTTTCAGACGCAAGAGTTTACCTGGAAAATGCTTGGATTCATTGATTATTGTTTTGTAAATATTATATGTGTTGTTTAAAAATCAATATAACTCATCAGCTGAAAACTGATTTAGTTCAGAAATTGAGTTAATATTTAGTCAATTATTTAAAATTTCAAGCCCTTGATTATTAGAATAGGATATAGCTAGATTAATAATTTAATAATTATTTATCAATCTTCATATTAATTCAGGTTCAATATTTCAATGACTATTAGGCAATAAACTTAGATTAAAAATTTGTTAGAATTCTACTTTTAAATATTAAATTTGTTTAAAAAATCTATTTAATATACCATTTATTCTCTCAAATGAAAAGTACTAAAATGTATACAATGATCTATAATCATAGGTACATTCATAAAAATGTAATGAAAGATGAAAATTTGAAGTAATTTTTTTTTCCCATATTCTTGTTTATTAGTTTAATCATTGTGACTAATCTTTTATAAACCTCATTTAATAAATTTTGTCTTAAAATTTGACATATTAAGATTTGACAAATCTTAACAAAATTCATTAGAATTTGATGATTCATATTTAGATAATGCTTCTATAGAATGATAGTTATTTATATTGTGAAAAAAATTTTCCACTTATTGGCAGTAAAGTTCAAAAATCCTTTATTACTATTTACTTTTCTCAGAATTCGATCAATATCTGATGGCACTTGAAAAATTTCTATTATTGATTGTATTTTATCCAATATATTATTTGTCATTATTCTTTTTTTAATTCATATTCATTTAACAAGTCATTTATCAATACCTAAGAAAAGACAGTGCATAGAATCAATAACTAAATGTCAAATTGAATTAAAATAATATAGGCAAAGAAATTCGAATCATTTGGCATGATTTTCATTAACAAAATATTTTTGTACTGCATTTGAGCTACAGCACCTCTATTCAATAGAATCTTATTTATGTATTGCCAAATCTCTTTATATAAACTATTCATTTATATCCTCCATGCTATCAAAATTATAATAATTATTTCATAATTGGCATTCTTCTTGCAATAATAATATAACACTAGTGCCAAAATGTATTTACACACTTTTTATATGGCAGAAATATTGCATGAAGTTAAAATTAAAGGCACCGGAATTATTTTTTCCTCTTCATTTTCAGCAGTTAAATCAAGCTTTATTTTTTGCTATAGTTGCATCAATTTG